ATAGAAGGGTCCCTATACGATAATACCTACAAAACAAATAAATACTAGTCGTTTTATAGCTATTTTAATACATTAAATTATTAAAACTAATTATCGTATATCAAATAATGAAACGCAAAAAATTCTTCATTTCTACAAATATGTTATTAATATTTTTATACCATTACATTTTATATGAAAATTCAAATATATAAATCGTAATTCATAAAATAATTTTTCATTTTTTTATACAATTACGGTTCCTTTAACATTCTGTGTGCATGATACATAATAAAGTTAAAATTAACAAATCATAATAATATTAAGCAATACTTTCATCCATTACGCAATCACTTCAATTTAAATCATATTATTAAATTATTTTTTAAATTTAACAAATCATAACAGTTACGCATGTTACATAACTTAAACTTGATAAAATGGTAAACATTAATTCTTTAAGAATTCCCTAAATCCTTTAACAAATGAATCAAAATTTTTAAATCTAATCTCCTTTAAAATACTTGTTTTTAAAATTTTGTCAAACTAAATGCATTGTTTTAAAACTTTTCATTTTAAATAATTTTTACAAAAAATTTTTTGAGAAATTTCCAAATGAATTGGACAAAGATTTAAAAAAAACATTTCTAAATCACTGAGTTGAAGGATTTTTTATTAAAACAAATTCTAAGTTATCTGTAATGTAAACCCTAACCCTAACCCTTACCGTAAGTGTAACCCTAACAAAAAATTTTCTTTTTTCACTGAGGAAGAGGATTTTTTTAAAAAAAAAACATTTCTGACCGTCGCGCCATGTTGGACCGACGGTCAGAGGATTTTAAAAAAAAAATAAATTTCTGGCCGTCGCGCCATGTTGGAGCGACGGTCAGAAATTTCTGACACCTCTGACCGTCGCTCCAACATGGCGCGACGGCCAGAAGAACTTTAAAAAAAAAAAATTTTGCTGCCCGTCGCGCCATGTTGGAGCGACGGGCATACAATTGTACCACCCAAGTCAAGAACCACATTTGACGGCTAATTTTGGGAAGCATCAATATTTCAATCAATTAGCCCTCAACAGAAAGAAAATTAAAAAAATAAATCTTTTTTTCTGGGCCATCTTCTGGAAACGTGGTCACAGAATGGGCCCCAAGTCTTTCAATGCTAGCTTTTCTGCCCGTCCCCAAGTAAGAACTAAGAAGTGGCTGCCCTGACTTGAATTTTCTTCTCCAAGACTGCAAGTGCTTAGTCAATCTATCCACCCATTCAGTATACTGGAAATAATACCATTTCAAATTGTCCAATGACATTAGGATAGACACTTTGGCCTGACTTTCCCACTAGTCCCGTATGCCCACAAATCCTATAAATACCCACCCATTCTCTTAAGCCTCATTCATACAAGCACAACTTTCTCCATTCCTTAACCATGAAAACCTTCAATTCTTTCGCCTTTTCCACTCTTCTCATTGCTGCCCTCCTCTCAGCCTCCGCCCATGCAGCCACTTTCGACATCCGAAACAATTGTCCCTACACAGTCTGGGCTGCAGCGGTCCCCGGCGGTGGCCAGAGGCTAGATAATGGCCAAACATGGACCATCAACGTGGCAGCCGGCACAACCGGAGGTCGCGTTTGGGGTCGGACAAACTGCAACTTTGATGGCAGTGGCCACGGCAGCTGTCAGACCGGTGACTGTGGTGGACTTCTTCAGTGCACTGCCTACGGTGCACCACCAAATACTCTAGCAGAATTTGCATTGAACCAGTTCAGTAACCTGGACTTCTTCGACATTTCCCTTGTTGATGGCTTCAATGTGCCGATGGATTTCAGCCCTACATCCAATGGCTGCACCCGGGGCATCAGCTGCACAGCCGACATAAATGGGCAGTGCCCAAGTGTGCTTAAAGCTCCAGGAGGTTGCAACAATCCATGCACTGTTTTCAAGACTGATCAGTACTGCTGCAACTCAGGCAGCTGCAGTCCGACTGACTATTCCAAGTTCTTCAAGGATAGGTGCCCAGATGCATACAGCTACCCGAAAGATGACCAGACTAGCACTTTCACGTGCCCTGCAGGAACCAACTATAGGGTTGTCTTTTGCCCTTAGGCCAATACCAAGGATCCTAAAAATTCTCTCGTTGCTTCCGACATAGTCAAATATAGTGCCAGATGCTAAATAACATGTTGCAACAGCACATGTAGTGATGTGCAAATGCATCTTTCTTTTAAGTTCAAACAAATATACAGTTGTATTGAGATTGGGTTTAAGGAATAGTTATCAATGCACGTTGATGAATAAAACTTAACTATCCCTTATAGTAATATAGCTGAATGCATGATCTCTTCCTACGTAATTTGGGCCAAACCCTTGGATTTCTACAAGCATGACGGTGCAACGATGTTATTCACTCCTCTTCCTTCTTCCTTTTTCTTTTCTTTCACCTCCGAGAAGTTGCATGGGAAGGCTAAGTCCGCATGTAATATTGTACGTAATTGGTTTTTTTTTTTTTTCTTTTGGGAATCCTAAAAAAAAAAACCTTTGCATCCCAAGAAAAGAAATTCTACCATCCATTATATCTTTGTTACCCAAAAAAAAAAGGGGGGGGGGGGGCAGCCTTTGGCATTTAGAAGTCCATTTGATACCTTTTTCGCTTAAACAAGGATATCGTCTAAAGGTAATCAAATTCGATGGCTATCCTTCTCTTTTTTAATTTTTTTTAAAAATTTTAAAAGAGACTTCAAATCTTCTTCAATGGAAAATGAAGAAAACAAGAAAGGGGAAGATTGGAGTTAGCAAGGCGCATTAATTTGTGCCTACATTAATTAATTTGTTAATGACCGTGTTGGGTCTTGGGACATTTCTTTTAAGTATTTTCTTTTGCTGCTCCTAAGATCTCGACCAAAAAAAAAAAAAAAAAAAATATATATATATATATATATATATACGTTTTATGCTATTGACACACACAAATCCGGTCCAAGACCGTTTAATCCAGTTAGATGCTCCTCACAGTTAATGCGAGGACCGGTTGGCTACTGGGCCTAAATGTCCACCAAGTCTCAATTAATGACTTTCTGCCATCAGCGACGCTGACGACCAACTCGTGTGCTAATTTTTGGACTCAATTCCTGTATTGGGTTTGTTTGTTTAGATCCACAATACGTAACAATTATTTCAGAAACATTCTAGACTTTTCTTCCTATGGTTTTTTGATGTTACGTCACATGAGGACTTTTCTCAGTCAATCATTCTAGTCTGCAACTCCATGGAAGCAGCTGAATGGGGGACATCTAATCTTCCTAAATTCTACCAGGAAAATACTATAGTAGTAATTACTACGTAGTAGTAATAACACAAAAGTCAAGAAAACTGCATCCTCCCTCCCTCTCCATGGTTGATTATTGCCATGAGATTCCTCAACTTTCTCCTTATTTCTACGGTTCTAACAATCACCCTCCTCACAACCTCCACTCAGGCGGCCACTTTTGAGATCCAAAACAACTGTGCCTACACGGTTTGGGCTGCTGCCACTCCCGGCGGCGGCCGGAGGCTTACTACTGGCCAAACATGGACTGTCAACGTGGCAGCAACCACCGCAGGTCAAACTGGTCGTATATGGGCTAGAACCAACTGTACCTTCAACTCAAACGGCACCGGCAGCTGTCAAACGGGTGACTGCGGGGGACTTCTTAGGTGCGCAGTCGACGGTGTTCATGCACCCCCAGTTACTCTAGCTGAATACTCGTTGAACGGGTTTAATAACCAAGACTTCCTCGACATCTCCCTTCTTTATGGCTTCAATGTGCCAATGGAGTTCAGTCGTCCATCCATTGGCTGCACCGGCGGCATCAGGTGCGCCGCCGACATAAAAGGACAGTGCCCGCCTAAGCTTAGAGCTCCCGGCGGTTGCAACAATCCTTGTACCGTATTCAATACTGGTGGATACTGTTGCACCTCTAGCCTCACATGTGAACGGACCTACCTCGCCAGATTTTTTAAGGATATGTGCCCAAATGCATTGAGTTACCCAACAGATGACCAGAGTAGTATATATACTTGCCCTGCAGGCGGCACCTATGGGGTAGTCTTTTGCCCTTAGTAGAGCCGAACTACTTAGAGGCACTTGTAAGTCGTTAAGTACCAACACTCTGTAATAGTTCAATCAAGTGTTTATCATCATCAGGAGATTTTAGTGCCCTTCATTCGAATATGGTGTGCTCAAATTAAATGATATAGCACTTTCACTTGCCCTGAAGGAACCAACTATAGGGTTGTCTCTTGCCCTTAGACCAATACCAAAGATCCAAGTAAAAATTCTTGCTACACAGTCAAATATGGTATCGCATGGGTTTGTTTGAACAGAGGATTATTTGAAGTATCATTTAAAATAATTACTGTAACACTTTTTGTAACGTGATATATGTGAGATAAAAAAATGATTAAAAATATAAAAAAATAGATTGAAAATGTATTTATGATATAAGCTAAATATTATTTGAAATAATTACTGTAGTATTATTTTTTGTAATGTGATATATACAAAATAAAAAATAATTAAAAATATAAAAAAATAGATTAAAAATATATTTATAATATAAATTAAATATTATTTAGAATAATTTGCTATCTAAACACTCCCGTCTATGTTGCAAGCAGCACATCATGTAGTGATGCACAAATACATCTCTAAGATCAAATAGACAGTTGGATTGACTTTTGAGTTTAACGAATGGTACTTATCAATGCGCGTTCATAAATAAATTCTACAGTCCCTTAATACGGGTGAACACATAATTGGTTAATTCGTTTAGATTTCAATTTTCTTGGCATACCTAGGCAAAAAAAAAAAAAAAAAAAAAGAAATTCTAGCATCCTTGATATGATTGTTTCCAAAAAAAAAAAAAAAAAAAAAAATCCTTGGCAAGTTAGAAGATTCATTATTGATACTTCTCTCATTATATATATATATATATATATTGATGTAACTTCGTATGATGACTTTTCTAGGTCAATCATTCCAGTCTGTGACCGTGTACATCTATCTCCCTAGTGCTACGCCGACCAGGAAAAGATTGACTAGTATTTAATACTAGTAATAGCAATAAATCAAGAAAACTGGCTCCATGGTTGATTGCTGTGCTGCCATGAGATTCCTCAAATTTCTCCTTACCTCTACGGTTCTAATAATCACCCTCCTCTCAACCTCCACTGAGGCGGCCACTTTTGAGATCCAAAACAATTGTCCCTACACAGTCTGGGCTGCAGCGAAACCTGGCGGTGGTCGAAGGCTAGACCGAGGCCAAACATGGACCATCAACGTGGCAGCCGGCACAGCCGGAGGTCGCGTTTGGGGTAGGACAAACTGCAACTTTGATGGCAGTGGCCACGGCAGCTGTCAGACCGGTGACTGTGGTGGACTTCTTCAATGCACTGCCTACGGTGCACCACCAAATACTCTAGCAGAATACGCACTGAACCAGTTCAATAACCTGGACTTCTTCGACATTTCCCTTGTTGATGGCTTCAATGTGCCGATGGAGTTTAGTCGTCCATCCACTGGATGCACCGGCGGCATCAGGTGCGCCGCCGACATAAATGGGCAGTGCCCAAGTGTGCTTAAAGCTCCAGGAGGCTGCAACGATCCATGCACCGTTTTTAAGACTGATCAGTACTGTTGCAACTCAGGCAGCAATTGTGGCCCGACCAACTATTCCAGATTTTTTAAGGAAAGGTGCCCAGATGCATACAGCTACCCAAAAGATGACCAGACTAGTACATTTACCTGCCCGGCAGGCGGCAGCTATAGGGTAGTCTTCTGCCCTTAGTAGAGCCCAATTATTCATTTAGAGGCACTTCTTGCCTTGTCAAGTTCCAACACACTACTATGATCCAGAGCGTTTTAGGAGTAACACAGGCCTCAATTTTTGTTAAGGAACAAATCATGGTCATTAATCATCTTTTCATTTTTTTTCTCTTTGATACTCGTGGTCATTAATCTTTAGTGAAATGCTAGCCATATATATATATATGTATGTATTCTCGCCGGCATTAATTAGTTGGTAGAGGACTTGTTGCTTGACCCCAGGTCAAGTCCACACGTTTTTGTGTATACCACTTAACTTTTACTCCGGATTGAGAAAATCGCAGACGACTTGGCAAAACTCTGTTAAAATGGTCAATTCACTTTGTCCTTTTCTTGGTTTAATACTTCTGAATTGGTCTTCTCCCTCATCTAAGTTCTTGATTCCACCAGTCTAATTTCGGCATCAGAAATTGACTTCTCCATTCTTCTTACTAGGCCGCCTTCCATCAATACTAACAATTTCCTAATTTTCCTACTCCTTGGGAGTATGTACCTTTCACCGTCAGCAACAATTCAAAAATCCTCGTCTTTGGGTCCATTCGTGCAGGCACTTCAATGGGATTTGCACTAAAACAATCTTTTAATACGACTAAACCCTTATCTTTTTCCCTGATTTCGCCAACCTTGGAATTCCACAAGACAACATCATTATAGTTTTTTTTTTTTTTTTTTTTGGGGTTGTTTTTGTAGGGGCTGTATGCAGCACCCCACGCACCCCCCCCCCCCCTTTTTTTCTTAGGCAATGCATCATTCCTTTATGTTTGTCAGTTTATGAAGACCTAAGAAAGTTGAACAATCCGTTGATTCAATCATTAGCACATTGCACGCTATGTGAACATAATCATGGCAACACCTTGATATGGTGACACAATTAACTAAATATATGAAAAAAAAAATGAACTATATTTTCCTCCTATCTCTTCTCCTGAAAAAGAAAATAAAAAACAGAAATATTGATGTGATATAAAGGAAGGTATTTGACAAACGAACCGACCTCCAATGAATGGTAATACATACGAGACTCTTATCAGTTCAAATCTCTCAATTAAATGTTTATGCGACCGGCTATCCTATCGTGTGGAAACGTGAAAATCTCCCCTTCCATTTTAAAAGTAATCGCTACCTGAATTTGCGCCACTGGTGTCGTGCTAAATGACTACTACTTAACCACGTTTTCGGTTTATTCCCGCATCTAATCAAACTCAACCCGGTTCAATACTGTTCAAAACCGGTCTTTACCATTCCAACGTATAAAATAGCCGAAAGAATGTCTCCGGTCCTGGCGTCTTTGTCCAAAAATCCTCCGCAAGAAAATCTGCTGATCTTTTCTGAGTCTTTTCCATTTTTTCTCCAAATTTGTTTTATTTGATTTGGGTGAAAAATGCCACGAGGAACTCTTGAAGTCCTCCTTGTTAATGCTAAGGGCCTCGAGGACACTGATTTTCTCAGTAAGTAAATTAGTCGTGTGATCAAAATTGCTGATCAGGCCGTCATTGGTATCCCAGTTACTTTTTTTCCTTTTCTTCTTTTGGATCTTTTTTGTTTTGTTTGTGATGAATATATACTCCTTTTATCTGAAAAAAATGATGTGGGGGGGTTTTTTTTCTGATGGCTGAAAATTCGGAGAAAAAGGGTAAAAGAAGCACTTTGCCTAAGAAATGGATCGCTTTTTTTTTCCCCATTTTTTTGACTAGTTAATGTTGTCTTTGAGTAATTCTTCTTGGACATTGAGCAGATAATATGGATCCCTATGTGATCATCACCTGTCGTAGTCAGGAGCAGAAAAGCAGTGTTGCATCAGGTGAAGTCAACTTGTCAATTCTTTTTTTTTTTTTAATCTTTTGGGAACTTGATCAGAAATATTTATATGGGATTTCAGCATTTTGGGCATTGTTTGATCGTCAGTAACTTTGTCTTCTTTAAATAAAAGTTTGTCCTAACAAATTAGTAAACTTTACAGGGCAGGGATCTCAACCAGAATGGAACGAGACTTTCCAATTTACCATTTCTGACAGTGTCCCGGAATTGGTAATCAAGATACTGGATAGTGATGCTGGTTCGGGGGATGATTTTGTGGGAGAGGCAAAGTATGTAGTAGCTTCCTTTTCCTTTTGTCAATTTTATCAATCCCTCAGATCTAAACAAGATGATATGTTTTTTGGCGTTTGCGGTTGGTCTTACTTGGTCCTGATTAGCTTTTACCGAATCACAAAACAGAGCATGGTAATTTAAGAATCAGAAGTTCTCTTCTGAATTTCACTCAAGATGGTAAGTGTTCCTTGTTTGCGAAGGTTTAGTGCTTTTGATCCTTAGGATGCGATAAGCAATGATATGCGGTTTGAGCAGTAATGCCAACTATAAAGTTCTTATTTTTAGTCAACTGAAGAATGGCTCAGATTTTGCATGTGTTGATCTCATATAATTGCCTATCAGAATTCCTCTTGAGCCAGCATTTATTGAAGGAGCCATCCCAACAACAACATACAATGTGGTTAAAGATGAGGAATTTAAAGGAGAAATTCGAGTTGGCCTCACCTTCACTCCTGAGGTAAGTTAACACGTTCAACACATTGCCGTTTAGACTTGCTGAACAAAGAAATGCTTTTAGAAATGTTTCGATAACCTTCCAATGGAAACATAAGAAAACAAGCTAGACAAAGGACACATATTGGATGGGTAATGCAGGAATATATTTGATTTTCTGGTGTTATTTTTCCACAGGAAGGGTATGAGCGTGATTCTTCTGCACAAGAGGAGAGCTATGGTGGATGGAAAGAATCCTCGTATTGAGGCTGAGCGGGGCTGTGGTTGGAGTTCATTACTCTAACAGTTTCGTGAAGTTGCATGAAGATAAACCTTTGTATTGGCTGATTGTGTTTGTATCGTTTGTCAATGAGTGATCATGGAGGGCTCATTATTTTCATCAGCAAAAATGTAATTTATTGGTGGTTTTGGATGATATGGTATTTTCCAAGTTAAGCATGCACCTTGTATGTACGGTGTACATCCATAGGAAGAACCCAGGGAGACATTGAGCTATTTAAAACCATGCAACCTGTCAAACATACACAAGTTCTAGGAACACAATACTATGGGGACAGTTTCAAATAGTAAGATTCATACATTCAGCTCCTGATTGTCAGACTACAGAATTGTTTTCCAAGAATCTTTCTTTAAAAAAAAAAAAAGTCCCTGAGCAAAAATATTTGCTCGAAGGTACCACGGCATATATGAGGTGTCCGTGAACTAACTAAGAACAGCCATCGGTACCTTGCAGAGATGAGCTTATAGCGCTCAGACAATTGAAACCCATGATTGCTACCCCGTTTTATTAAGGTGGCAAATCATGACCACCTGCCACTCTTTCGTATATTGATGTCCGCAACAGGCAGCACATACACAATGTACTAGTATCAACCAGAAAAGACTCAGAAGAAATGTGGATTCAATTTTGAATTTTCACACCCTTTTACCTTAAAAGGTAATCAGCTGTATCAACTATTACAATGCCTGATACATCTAAGCTAATTGCCTATGAGAGCACTGAGGATTAATAATACGGTACAAAAGATTGAAAACTTGAAGACACAATGTAATAACTCAAAAATTTGTTTTTTCAGTCATTTGCGTTTATCGTAGGGCAGAGTATCGTTACCCAAAAGAAAGCAGCAGAATTCAAGAATTAACCTTGGTCTCATAGTCCTTACTCCTGGCCTCCAAGCTGGGTTGTTGAGAACCAAAACTGCTGCAACTTGGTAAATTTATGTTTCCAGGTGGGGTAATTAATTTGGGTTGCACCTGCTCCACGGCTGCATTTTGCTGGACAGAGTCAAAATGAGAAGGCACATCATTCTGGAACAAGGCGGGTTTATCAATCTCAGAGAGTCCAAAACTAGCATTCCCCTCAGTAAAAGATGTCTCAATTTGTTGTTGGAAGCAGCCCGGAAATGCTAGAGTATCCTCCAATGGTATTTCACCTGTTAGGGTCTTGAAAGCAAATTCATAGCATGGATCAGAAAAAGAGTCTCCAAAAGGGTACCAGAACTGCGAATCTTGTGATCTTTGGTTTTCTTCCTCTTGTGCCTCGTTTACCTGGCCCACTACTTGCTCTTGTACAGCCTGTTCCTGCAAGGGGTTTTCAATGTTGTTTTGCATCTCTGTTTCTAGCAAAGCTACTTTACAAGATGTGAGATCTGCAATGATCTCTCTCTGTAGTTGGGTATCAATATGCTGTTGCCCTCCATTAGCTTCAGAATTCTGAGTCAAGCTTGATGATACATATGTTTCTGTTTGACCAGAGCTGCTGTTGTTTGTTTCTGTTTGACCAGGCTTTCTAACAGCAGCTCGAAGAGCTCGCTCACTTAAACCCATGTTGGGCAGTATCTCAGGTTCTTGTCCTGATAGCCTTTTTGAGGACCGAGGAGGCATGCTCAGAGCTTTTCTTTTCTTAGATTTTTTGGGTTGAATCTGTGTCCCTGTGTCTAAATACTCCTGTGGATGTTTCTGCTCATGCAAGAGAGCAGTTGCAATACTGGATACAGCTCCATTAACATCAACCTCCTGATCTAGGTTAGAACCTTCAACTATTGGATGAGAGCTACCTGCTGATCTATCGCAATTATTTAGCTCTGAGCATATTTGAAGGACAACTGCATCAACTGTCGACGTAGTGATGTTAGTATCAGCATATCTATCATTACTTGGAGTTTCCCTTGAACTCTCAATCTCTGGCTTCTTCTGTTCATGTGAGACAGCCGTTGTAATACTGGAAACAGCTCCAATGTCATGAACAGCTTTCATTTCTAGTTTAGAGCATTCAGATTTTGGCTGAGGGTTTTCCCATGCTCTATCACACTTAATTTCTTTAGAGCATAACTGAATTTCTTGAACTGCATCAACTTTTGAAGTTGAGATCTTGGCATCAGTAGATTTATTTTCAGCATTAGTTTCCTGTGATCTCTCAGCTTCTGGAGCTGCTGCAATGCTTCTAAGAAAGCTTCCATCATCTGCACCATGGTAAGTCCTTTATTTGAAGCAGGAGGTATTATACTGGACACTTGACAAGCCATTTAAGATGATTCAATTTTAAACAACAGAATTTTCTTACTCTCTGCCTTCTGACCACCAAAAAGTTGTCCTCCACCTAGTGCTTGTCCCAGTTTCTTCCCATCAGGTTGAGCCTAACAAGAGTCAACAGGTAATGTACAGCTATTAGGACCTCCACTTTAGCATAT